GGAGACAGCCTAACTGAAGTATCTTCCAGCCGAGCAAGGTGACAGTTACTGATGCGCCCATTTAACCAGTGGTAAATTTGATAATTTTGACCTATGGATGAAATCATTTCACAAAAAGCATTGCTTCTAAAAAAAGTTCACTCAGCTGACCTTTTTGAATGGCACCCGACACGAAGGCGCCACACTACACTGTGCAACGCCTGACAGATAGGCGCCACACGCCTGGCCAGCGTCGCATCCCGGACCGCCTAAAAATTACTAAGTCAGTGTGCAGCGCCTGAGAGTTAGACGCCACACTATATAGTGTAGCTCCTAGCCTCTAGTCGTTGCACTAGTGGTTGCCTACAAAATTAAGCAACCACTAGTGCAACGCCTAGAGGCTAGGCGCTACACTGTATAGTGTGACGTCTAGCTCTCAGGTGCTGCACACTACTTAGTAATTTTTGAATCACACGGGTGCGACGCTGGCCAGGCGTGCAACGCCTATCTATCAGGCGTTGCATGGTGTAGTGTGGCGCCTTCATATCGGGCACCACTAAAAAAGGTCAGCTGAGTGAAATTTTTTTAGGGACAATTCATTTTGTGAAATGATTTCATCCACAAGTTAAAATTGTCAAATTTGCCTTAACCAATGGAGAGCAGGGAGTAAAAAAGTATAACTGCTCGGAATAAACTACAGAAGCAAAGTCATCCACAACACAACCAAGGAAATCACGACGTAAAAACAGAATCATATCATACCCACTGGAGATGAATTTATAGATTCATAAGCTAGCAATGCAGTAACACATTTTTTTGAAGGAGTAACACAAGTCTTAGATAAGCTAACTGAACTAAGTAACAGTAACTGTCCGTCTCCAATTTAGCTATTGCTTGCTCAAGCTGCAACCAAGAGCAGAGGATAAACATTGTGATTGCTGGAGATAAACTAGAGACGAAGGGTCATGTACATGACTGATGTTTGCAATGATTATTTTGGAGAATTTCCAAGAATCTGGTGGGTCTGGTTACCTTGTTCGGGCAGTGTTCCAGTGTGGAAAAGGGCCACACATCTGAAGTATGTAAGAAAGAATCTTGAGCGCAAAGCTGATGCCATGTGTGACATCTTGAGTGTAAAAAAGACTTGAGCGCAAAGCTGATGCGGCGTGTCAGATCAACGTGCACCGGGTCGGGGTGCGAGCATCTTACGAGTGCCAACGTTTGGTTCCCCATCGTCGTCGTTTGCTCAGGCTGCAACCATGGAGCACAGCTCGGGTAAAAATTCTGAACACCTGCAGATACAAATTACATACAGTCTATACAGACAGAGAATCGAATAACAGGATACAAATAAACTGAAAAGAACCCGATGCCTGAGATTGCTCTGCTAGGAAATAAACTTGAACTCGATCACGGGATACATACATACGTACGTACGTACATACATACTGTCTATACATACATACATACAGTGATCGTTTTTTCTTTCCTTCCTCGCGGCTGGAACCCTAGCCGCCATCAGGAGAGGCCATCTTTCAGCGCCGTCCTCCGGCGGCTCCCCTCCGCCGGCAACCTCGGTCGTCGGTGGTGAGGGGGGTCGCCGGATCCACGCGTGTGGATCGTTTTTACTTCCTTGTAGTCTAGGTTTTTTGGCTGTTCATCGGCCTGGATTCGGCGGTGACGATGACGGCGTTGAATAAAGATTCTTCAGATCCTTCCTTGTCACTTAAGCCCATGTCAGCCCATTCTTTTCCTCCGCTCATGCGACCTAGGCAGGGAGGCGGCGGTGGCCGATCTACACCTTTCCGGCAAGGGTCCCCTTCTCCCTTCGTTTGTTCCAACGATGATGGGAGGGAGTGGGGATCTCACTGCTTCGTCTTGATGGCAGTAGGGCTAGGAATATTTAGGATCTCACTGCTTCGGCTTGATGGCAGTGGGGATCTCACTGCTTCGGCTTGATGTGGTTGTGCGTGTCAATACTCCAACTCCATTTTCAACCGATGAAAGTCTCCCGATCTCGACCTCATTTAGGGGCTTGTGAGATTTGTGTTCTCCAAGTCGAGTTGGGTCTAGGGCGTCCTAACTCTCCATCATTTTCTTCTCTGTAGCGGCAATTTGCTACGTAGATCACGGTGGACAGCATCTTCTGGTCTACATAAACAACTTATGGGCCACTGCTTCTACAAGCTCCCGAGTTCAATATATTTGCTCCGCTCAAATAGAGGCCGAGAGGCAGCAATGAGCTTTCTCACGATGCGTCACAGGTGAATGCAGGAGAATGAAGACTCCACCACACCCATATTTTCGACGTATGTAAGAGTGTTTTTC